ATATATATATATATATATATATATATATATATATATATATATAAATAAGCTATTGAATTTTCTAAATCCACGAACTTTCACTTAGCTCCGTCTTTGAATGAATTGGCTTTATACTTCTATTTTTTTGTTTTCTAGCTTTATACTTAGTTTTTTGTTTTGTTTTCTAGTGCTTTGGCTAATTGCGTGTGTCCACTTGAGAACATCTAATATATAAGGCTTTGCATGCCTTGGCATAGCTTAATATATACAATAATTGTTGTCATGTATTCAAGCACTTTTGTTTATAATTGTGTCCCTCTTCTTCTAAGACACCACGTGATTTACGAGTGTACCTTGGTCTCTCTATAATTGTCAACCATATACAAATATATCTATTTATTTATTATAGAAAAAATGAATAAGTAATCTCTCAACCTATGCTTGAAATTTCAGAGACACATTTATATTATACTAAGATTCTATTATTTCCTGAACTTATTTTATAAGTAATTTTTTATTCCTTTTCGGCCTATGTAACACTAGCTTAAAAAAAAGTCAACCAACGTTGAACCCATAAGATAGTGTAACGTAGGCCGAAAAGGGGTACAAAATTATTAATAAAATAAGTTCAGAAAAACCTTAGTATAATATAATATGTCTCTGAAATTTCGGACATAGATTAAAGGGAAACTTGTGCATTATCCCTTTATTATACTGTCATAAGTTGGATAATATAACCAAATCCCCTTTAGTTTTACTTTTTGAGATATATATCATCATGGACGTTTTTTTTAAAAATAATTTTCTTTAAAGAATAGTTAATAATGTTATACTTGTCATTTTCATTTGAATGCACGGGTGAAGTACGGCAGTTGGGGTATTTTGACTTGTGCACCGTCTTTCTATTGTACTCCGAAAGATCATATTTATAATATTTGTGACATATTATACGAGCCTATTTATTCTAATATAAATTGTTTGAATTATAGGTGGGACGTAGATCGTAATTGAATTATGTTTGAATTTATTCTAATATAAATTGTTAATTTTTGTGATTGTAATTTTCGCATATATAAAATCTATTTCAAGAAACTTAAAGCTTTTGTGTCTAAATTCACGTTAAAGTTTAGAAATCTGAATGTAAAAAAAATTCCAATTGTTCCACATTGACAAATACAACAAAATATCCAGTGAAATTCTATTAAATACCACATCGATCAGATCAGATGAAGTTTTTTTATTTTTTATAAGAAAACAATCAAAACCAGAACCTTTCTAATATCTAATCAAAACCTTATTACCAATTAGTTTGTCGGGAAAGTTAAAAGTTGAGAGATGGAAATGTACTCAAGTATTAAAGTTGAATTAAAATTTACCTAGAATTATTGGTGGATGAGTAAATTTATTTCAAGTTTTAGCTCTAAGAAACAAAAATAATTTTTTTAATTGAAAACACTTTAATTGATGAGTCACTGCGACGCAAACTGCATGGCAACAGATGAGTAACTTTCAAAAAGAAAAAAAAGAACAAGAAAAATATGGATTCATGTTGTCTGAAAAAAGATCTCTCACGCAAAAAAATAACCATCATCTTGTATTCATTTTTTTGGCTTAAGATCATTATTCTTGGTTGCCTCGTCACCATGCCCTCCATCTCTCCTCTTTTTTTTTCCCTAGATTGAAGTCCGCATTGAAGTTTCGACTAAATTTGAATCGTATACATTAAAGCCCATCATTATGGGACTACAACTTATCGTGGTGCATGCCCCCATCTCAATCTCCCCCACCCCACCCCCACACAATCTTCTTCACCTATATATACTTACTTCCCTGTTCCAGTTTTAGTCATCTTCACTACCTACTCAAAAAAATAAGAAGTATAGCAGCATTTGTACAAAAATATTCACTACTAGAATCCCCTGTTTTCCAGCCAAAATCATTCGGGTTAATTTTAGTTGATTGGAAGTTTCATTCCATCAATGGCTGCTTCTGGATTTGAAGGATTTGAGAAGAGACTTGAGATACACTTCTCTGGCGATGATCCTGCGATCGAAATGGGAGGTCTCCGGCAACTAGATTTTGATTCCTTGGAGCAAGTACTACATGCTGTGCAGTGCACAGTGGTGTCAGCTGTTTCGAATCAATATTTTGATTCTTACGTACTATCAGAATCAAGCCTCTTTGTATATCCTACCAAAATAATCATCAAAACTTGTGGAACCACCCAGTTGTTGAAATCAATCCGTCCGTTCATCCATTTCGCGTGCCAAATGGGACTTATCATAACAGAGTGTAGGTACACTCGAGGAAATTACATTTTCCCCAAAGCACAGCCGTATCCACACACAAGTTTCAAAGAAGAAATCTCTTATTTGCAGGATCAATTACCTAATCATCTTTGCTACAGAAAAGCCTCTGTTATGCCATCGAAATTCACTTCACATTCATGGCATGTTTTCTCTGCTTGTGATAAGTTTTACCCAATCCCAATTCCCAACGATCAGTATACCGTGGAAATTTGTATGACGGATCTCGACCTGGTACTTGCCCGGAAGTTTTTTAAGAATCCGGATACAACCGGAAAACAGATGACGGAGGTGACCGGAATTGGAGAAATCATTCCGAGTGCTTTGATTTGTGAATTTGCTTTTGATCCTTGTGGATACTCCATGAATGGGATTGATGGAGATCGCTACTCTACGATTCATGTGACGCCGGAAGACGGTTTTAGTTACGCGAGCTATGAGTGTGTGGGATCAGTTTATGATGAGGACGACATTGATAGGATCTTGAAGAAGGTTGTTCAGGTTTTCCTACCGGGGACAATGTCAGTGTCCATTTCGTGTTCGAGCAGCAGCAGCAGCAGTGAGATTTCTACCAGAATTGTTAAAGCTGTCGAGCCACTGGGGATGAAACGGCGGAATTGCACCATTGATGAATTCCCAGCAGCCGGAACTGTGGTGTTTCAAACTTTTACGTTGACGGGAAATAGGTGAATTGTAATGCTTAATATATCGAGTTTAAATTCTGAATTCGTTATCTTAAAGTGGTGTGAGCGAGGAAAAGGTTTGAAAAAATATACGGTGGAAGTAAAGGACTACTATTTTTACTTGTCTTATTTATTTATAATGTTAATAATCATTTAGAGTTTAGATTGAAAAATTTAAGGTGAATTGATATATTATGATAATGCATATAGATATACACCACTTGTGTTTCACTCCTAGAGAAAATTTTGAACCTCTTATGAATCATTTATACAGTCATGTTTCTGTTTTATTTATTTGAGCTCTAGCGAAGTTTTCAATTTTTCAAAAGGAAATTCTCATCTCTATCTATTTTATTTTATTTTCAAATTTGAAAAGAGAGAGAAGAGGTTCGTATAACGTATTGATGAGGTAATAGAAATATAAAAATGCATGGGGCTACCTTCCCATGCCTAAGCGTGCTTCTAATGACACGACTATTATGACAGCATACGATTACGTCCAAACACTTATTATCTTTCTTTTTTTATTTTTATTTTCTTTCATCCGGTGTCTGGAGCCTGCATAGGAGCTCTGGCTAAATCCGGATCGCGCACTGCTGAGCCCAGTCAGGGTGGCGCTTACAACAAAATTTTCTCCTTACCCACGACTCGAACCCGAGATCTATTGTTGAGAGCGAAGCAGTTTCACCATTAATGCACCACAATCCATGTTGGTGACAGTCATAATCTTCATGCGTGGGTCAAATTGTATGAACCTACACAACACTAGGACTGTTCTATGGCGGATAAATTTTTATCTTAAACGGGCTATCTAACATAATAGTCTACACAGTTACAGAGATAGGAGATGAATGATTATGGATTCTTCTCTCCTTTTGGGTCCTTGGACTCACTTTCCATTTCTCTACAAGAAACTTGTTTATATTTGTGCAATTCGCTATCACCATGGCTATTCCAGTAGCGTTAACATCAGGGAAATAGACCGTGTAACAAATTTCCGACAAGGTACACTTGTTCACATAATAACTTTAACTCATTTTATTTGACGACAGAGCAACATCACAGTATCCATAATCAAGGGGCATCCTTCACCTAGTTCCACCAAGGCCATATCCCCCAAATCCTATCAAAATTTAGGTAGTTTCCGTGCTGAATGAAGATTCAAACACAAATTCTTTTTAAGTGAAGCAATACTTGCATGTGTTATACAAAGATTCCATCCACTTATCAACTGCTGGTATTCGTAAGGAATCAACCAGTTTAAGCTTATATCAATTAAGTACTGTAGTTGTAATGAAACTACAGTTGTTACCTGATCACCTTAAATCAATTTATGTAATTGCCTAATGAACTTAGATATGTTAAGCATACGCGCAGAGGCTTTGCATCAATGCAATGTTTATCAGACTGTAGAAGAGCAGGTATAAGTGGACATACCTGGAGAACACTCACATCCAAGCAACTGAATTCAAGGCATATCCCAATTTGGTCGCAGCCACCGACATTCAAATGATGCAGAGAGCAATTTTCACCATCCCCTACTCTGGCATATAAAATAGAGCTTAATGATTTCTTAAGAGCCAATAAAGCGGTACTTAAGTGCAAGCTTTAAATCAAAAAACAGTTCAAGATATCTGCCCTGGCAGATAGAACATTCAGGAACCAACTATATATATTTTCTTGCTGCGGTGTAGACCATTTTTCATTGGAGTCGGGGACAGGAGCATTAAAGCAGCAGATGAATATTATGCCTAGACAATCTTCATCCTTTTACAAACAAGCCATCTCTTAACAGTACCAGAGGCTACAAAAGGAGCACACATCTCAAAGAGAATTCACGTATAAATTCCATAAAACAGCAGAAGAAGAAAGTAATGCAAGAAAGGAAGAGGCTGTCTAACAGTTTTATCAGCACGAAAGTCGACGATTGAAAAACAAATTTTAAAATAAGGCAACGTTACCTATCTAAAATATCAAAGTCTGAGGTCTAAAGATTTAAGAGTATCAAAGTCTCCTTTAGGTTCCAGTCAAAGAGATCTAAACAGAGTCATCAATTCAATCATTCGAATGTTCTCCCCTCCGATTGACCTCTTTTCTAAATAATCTGAACCTCAATATCACATTCCGAATCAGATATTTAGATGAAAGCAGATCTTTTGTCCGTCCCTCATCATCGAAAGGAAGAATTGCTATATCTATCCACGTATTACTTATAAAGAAATGTGGTTCCAGGGATCAGTCAATTGCACATCAAAAGTTATAATTCCCTTATTTCAAAAGCTATCTAAAGATGAAAAAACCAGTATAATCAAACAAAACAATTGAGATTTGGTCATAAAGTGCAAAGATACTGCACAAGCCAGATTTCACTAACAAAAGAAATTACATCATTTGGGGACAATTAACAGCTGCTGAAAGTAATACTTCTTTCCAAATCGGATACGCCTCTTCAAGAAACCCAATTCCACAGCTAAAGTGGTTCTCAACAAAAAATTATAACAATAAAGCCTGTCTAAAAGATTCACCATCTGATGGGCAATTACAAGCAGTAAAATAAGTGAATGACATCATTAACCCAAAATATAGAGGATAGATGTTAGTGTTAGATTAAACTCTGAACCAAGAAATTCAACTTTTGATCCACAACTCCAAACTCAGAACTGTATACTATTTAAAATTCATTAAGCAATAAGCTCATTGTTTCGAAAACATTGAGATGCTTAATGAAAGAGCATTACTAATAAAAAATTGTCCATCTCAAAGAATAAGAAAACATCAAGAATTACATAAAAGCAACAAACAAATTTATAGAGAAACAGAGATATCCACTAAGAAAAATCTGATATGTTCATATTATCCTTTTTCAGTTTTTCTCCATATAACTGTTTCTACGTTCTTCATCATAGTTATATTATAACTATCTTCCACTTTAATTCTTTTGTATGTACAGCTGGGGGTGGAGGGGTGGGGGTTCACTCTCTGATTCAACTGCCTCAATTTTCTTCTGAAAGAGAATTAAGAAACACAAGCCTGGTTTGCTTTTTCCAACCCAACAATGTTCGATGTACAAGTCATACCCTATTTCTATTTCATTCCTCCCCAGTTATCTTCTATATCTTCCACTCAGAATCATGTCTAGCACCAAGACATATAGTCTCCTTCCACTTTAATTACAGTCAAGTCGGTACTTATCTTGTTTCTTAGAGTAGTGAACATGAGTGTTTTTTATTTTTTTTATAAAGTAAATTATTTTATCACTGTGGTAAAAACTCCTATATTCAAGATGTATACCAGGAAGTAGAGAACCTACACAAGAATATGGTTTTCTACATATGTTACCCAACAGTCAACGAGAGCTCTCTAGTTTCTTAAGGATTCTAAAGAGAGAAAGAGAGACGAGGAAGAACACATTGCACAAAAAAATATTTCTAGTCAGTTATGATATTGTTATTGATTGGAAAGAATATATGGTAAAGACGATGCTAAATTAGTGTGATGTTAGGCCTCCCATGGTCCAACTCAAGTCTGTTGAATGCTATCATAATAACCTAAAGAGAGGAAAGAAAAACAGTGATGTGTTCAGTTAGTTGTAGCAGTTATAAGGTCAAAATGGAGCTGTTGCAAATCTGTTATTCAGAAGAAGACAATGGCATAGAAATAAATTAGAGGGAAAAATATAACAAGGGGGTGATCCTGTGAACTTGAGCTAGCACAGATAAACGAGAATAGCATCTCTATTTTATGGGAGGAAGATGTTAAGAATCCTGATAAGACTCTGAATATAATTTGAACCTCAACTCCAAGCTACATGCAACTTTTTCCTTTTCCTCCAGAATATTTTTTAACTGTATCATACACCCCATCCACCCACACTCAGAAAAGAGATAACACGAAAACATTTTTTTTTAACAAGAAAATAACAGTCGCCGAACATTTAGAAAAGAAAACATTACTCAACAAATTATACCAGTTTTGTGAATGGAACTCATGGTAACAAAGTCTGAACAAAATAGTGCCACCAATTGGCTCTTTGGTTGGAAGATTGGTGCTCCTCAACAGTGTATTAGATGCATTTCCTACATATATGGTGTGATTATTCTGAATTAGGATGAAGATCGGAAAAAAGTTAAATAAATTAGAAAGTACAAGGTAACAAAGAAAGAAATATATTTCATTTGATTAGCTCACACAATGTAATCAAGATTCAAGGACACAAAAAGAGGGTCATTTAAGCATAAAAAATCTGAGGCTGCAAAACGAAAAATTTACAAATGAAATAGTTGTTGAGGTATTCAGGAGAGGGAGAAACATTTTGAAGATATTTAGGAGAGGAAGAAGCCCCCCTTGTGGGATCACACTAGGTATGTTGTTGTTGTTGAATGTACAAATGGAGAACCTCCATGAAACTGGTCGACATGGATATGGTATATGGAAGCACATAAGAGGTCAATGGCAAGAGTACTCATAACGCACCAGCTTTAAGGTATGGTAGAATAATTCCTTCTGGAATAGATCATGTATAGGGAATACTCCACTTAAGGAATGGTGACAGACTTCTTCCAGCTAGTGCAAGACACTGAAGCAAATGATCCACAGAAGCAGGATGGCAAATAAGTATGAGGAGAAAGCTAAATGATTGGGAAATTTAAAGATTGAACAATTTTCTTTTGTTATTGCAGATAAGTCAAGGGAGGATGATACAAATAGTCTCTTGGACACTTGACAGAAAGGTATATTTTCTGTTAAATCTTGCTGCAGGGTATGTTACTCAAACTCTCCAAAAATGCTGCCACACCCATGTCAGATCCTCCAAAAACAGTGTTCGACACGCACCCATCGGCATTTTTGAAGAGTCCTAGCAACATAGGTTACAAGAATCAAACATATCTTGAGATGCCTTGGAAGCAGATTTCACATGTTCCTCTCAATGTAGATGGACTTGAGTGGAAGCACATGAGGCTGGTTAAAACGAAAGATATACTCGTGCAACAGGTGCTACCATTGAGAGAAAGAGATGGAAAACAACTGTTACCTTTTTCTATGCTGCAATAGTACCCATGCAGCTATGGTAATGTTCTTTAAGCTGAAGCGGATGGCGCAAGGAACTTCCAGGGAGCTTTTTTTTCACGGGAATGGTAACATTGTATTCATCAGCATTAAGGAAATGCTGGGCACCATATTTACAGTTCAGAAAAGTAAAAAAAGTTGTTCTTCTTACAAGATTGCTACAAAGAAAACACTAGCATTGATTCAGTATCCTCTACATAGTTTTCTTTACACCAAAAATACAAAGACTGAATACAATTTATCGTAATTCTCTGTAAAGAGCTGCTCCTGTTTTAAAACACCTGCATTTCTCTCTCTCTCTCCATACAGTTCACTATATACAAGCTATAATAGACTTTCACCACTTCTTCTGCCTTCCCCTGCCCCCACATTGCTCCAGCATAAAAGTTTAGGCTCTGGCATGACCTATTTCAGGCCAATCTTACTCAAAAAGATCTGCCACAACTAACCTGTCATTTTACAGTGCAAAAGCAAATGGCTATAATTTTCTACATTCTCCTGAATAGGAAGCATCTTGAGCTTAACCGGATTCCCCTTCTTGGCAGATTTCCACAAGTTAAGCATGTTTTCTGACCATCAACGAGGAGAAACATATTACTTTAAAAGGAACTTTGACTAATATTCCTCCAAGGCCAGCATGTATTTTGTTGATCAGTAGAGCTTAATATGTTGCATGCTGAATTAACTATGCATCCCTTCGTACATTATTATTCCAAATCATGAAATCTTCATTATCAGTTGTCCCTTTGAAGTTTTCCAACACATTGAAGAACTTTGTAACTCTTACTATCTCCCAATCATTCAATAATCTCATAAAAGAAAGGACTTCCAAGAGTTTCCACTCAGTTGGAATGGATGAGGCATCAGTAAGAAACAGAAAGGGGCACAAACTCCAACTCCAACATGCATTTGGTGGACAATATGCAAGGAAATGAAGGGGCCTCCAATGTAGATGTACATTACAAAGCTTACATGAAAGGAGAAGTTACGATCATACCCAAGCTTGTAAATATTAAGATCGATAAGCTGCTCTAAGTAAAATAAATAAATCCAAATATGAAAGAAAACCAGAAAAAACAACCAACTTGTCCATAAATATTTGAAAACTTTAAAGACCCAACAAACTTCGAAGGCATTGCAGAGCATCATCTGAAATTGTCGCTTCAGAACCTTAATGAGGACATCCTTAGGCGACAGTAAGTACATCTTAGTCATGGATAAACTGTGAGTCTAATGACAAGGAATTCAACAATCTAAAATGAGATTCCTCACTAACTTCTCATAAACCTAAGGAACTATATGTATCTTAGTTTGACTGGCACAAAATTTTGAAAAAGCTAGGAATACTTTTCAATCTTATGGTCTTAAATATATCGTGTTGGATGTTGGAGTTAAAAGAATTACTAAATATATAAAGTGACATTGTTTCCAAAACAGACTAAAATGAAAGTAAGACACATATATTGAAAAAATATGGAGGAGGGAAATTCACCACACTACGCGCAGGGGCATAGCCTCTTCGTATGCTGATGCGAACCATCACAAGATAGCACGGACACTTGCGAGGTGTACAAGCAGGCTCCAGGGTTCAAATCTCTGGGAGCATCATCAATTACTTCAGCAGGCTGATCAGCTCCAACACTTGCCAAACATCCACCTTTACAGCTCAAGTACTTATGCATCGTTTCACACTGATTAAGCAACACAAATTTGTTCGGAACACAAGACTGACCACTAGATTTACACACCGAATCACACGATTCACCTTGTCTTCCTATCACAACATTTATACCAGCCAACCTCACTTCAGTTTGTACACCAGAACCACCGCCAGAAGAAGAATTAGACGGTATAGAAAAACAATGATGAAATTCACTGAGATAAGCGTTTTCATGAACCACACTTTCCGAATTATGACGACATCTTCCTGTACAAAAATCAAAAATACTTGAATACATCCCTGCTGTTATGGGCTTAGATATCTTCACATTTACCGCCAGATCCTTTTGTGTCCTGGACGGATTCAAACAGCAAGAGACACAAAATTCATAGGAATCGCAACATTGTGAAACGAGATTACAACCATTGCAAGAGAATCGCTCTGATTTCCCACGGCAGCAGCGAGTATGGGGATCAATGGAGAGTGCATCACAGACTTGACCCATATCATCGGCAATCAAATATCTTCCTTGAACGGTAGTTCTACAGGTATATGTGTTTTGAAGACTAACATCCCTCCTGATAGATAATACTGGAGAAGAAAATTGAAGTATGAATAGCAGAGATGCAAAGAAGGAGTATGCTATCAATTTTGACATTTTTCCGGTGGAAAATGGAAGTGCCGGTCTTCCAAATAGAGTCATGCCGGGTTGCGCCTGTTGAAATGGAGCCCCGTGCTCGGAATTAATTATCAGGTTTTTCCATCTCGCTATAATATGAATGGTGAAATTAATAATTCAAGATAAACCTAACATCTTAAATCAAACACATGATTAACAACATTTTATTTCTAATTAATATATTTTATAAAGATTGTGTTTGAATTTGCTTAAAAGTTGTTTAAATTTGTTTTTAAATTAATTTTTTAACTTTGAAAGTGTTTGACAAACATAAAAAATTACTTTTAAAAAGGATCAAAAATGATTTAACTAATTTAGAAAGTGTTACGCAAAGTAAAAAATGACTTCAAATCAATCAAAAAATCAAAAGTAAGTTTATTTAAGTTTTTATTTTTTATTTTTTAATTTAAAATTATTTTTTTAAGTCAATCTGAATAAGATGTTTTGAAATGGCATGAAGTTAAAAGTACAAATAAAGTTTTGAATTTTCTGATTTTAAATTAATGATAGGAATAATATACTAAAATATCATTTAATTTCATGATTTTGAAAAGTAAAAAATAAAAAATTATCAATATATATATTTATTAAACAAAACAAAAAAAAATGGTAATACAAGCAAATTGAGATAATTATTTTTTAAAAAGATAATTTGGAATTGAGAGACTAGAAATCCTCTGTTTCAAACTTTCCATTTAATCTAACTCATAATATTAATCTAGTTTTTCTTCTCTATAGTAGAAGTTTTAACTATCATACACCATTTAAGTAAGTCGTCTCAATAATTTTGTGAGTACAAATATGTGATAAAGAGTGAAACTCTATTTCCTGTAGCTAAAGAAACCAGATAAAATTTACTTTGTATTTAAAAAGAAGCTACCAAATTTACCCCTACATTTTATGTGTTTATCTAATAAAGGGGGTATATTTGGACAAAATAAAACTGCAAAGACAAAATGGAATTCACACAAAATACGAGTGTATATATGACCAAAAAATATAAGTGAAAGATAAATCTGAACACTTTTTAGGGAACCATTTTGGTGACGCATACAATTGGTGAATGAACATAGATCCTTCTTCCTGTAAATTGAAATACAGACGGATGACGTAACTGTGCTGGAGTTTTGAATTCGAACTCAGACATTGCCTAGAATTTTTCAAAAAAAGTTTTGATCTCTAACAGTCGCATAAGTTTGTCCAAATTTTATTTCCGCATTAAAAAGCAGTGTTGAAACTATGAATAATTCTGAAATACTGGCAAAAGCTTTTAACTTATGGTAAAAGAACCTGGATATTTGCTATCTTTCCCCAATAAAGTCAATCAACTAGCTCAAAACAACATTCAGAATCTTAAAATGAATTGTTTAGGCTTTTATTATTTTTGGCGTGAGCAAAAACTACTAGCTCAAACAGAAGATATATGTGATGTTTTTAACTTTTTGTAAGACACAGAACTGAATCACAAGTTGTAAGTTGTAATACTTTTTGAAGGGGTATGGTTGTAGTATATCTGTGGATATATATTAAAAAAAAAAAAAAAGAGTCAATCAACTAGCATATTCCTACACATCGGGAGATATACATACAAGACACCAATTAAGTCGATCTACCAGTACATTAGTGCGTGATTTTGACAAAAAAAGAAAAAGAAAAAAAGAACATTACAGAAAAAAGAGAAGAGCAACACAAGCTCTCACGACAACCCCTCTTTCTATGTCGGGGCAATTTGCGAATTAAACAGGTTATCCACAACGATTGTCTGTTTTACTGTTGCTGCTTTCGATTGGAGCTCCAAGGAATAGATTACACTAACTTGTGTACAGAGACTTACAGATCAACACAGAGATAGGAGATGATGGATCCTGCTCTCCTTTTCGTTCTTGGACTCACTTTCCACTTCTCCACAAGAACTTTCTTTATATTTGTGCAGCTTGTTATCATCGTGGCTACTCCAGCAGCGGTAATACCAGGGCAATAGACCATGTGGCTAGTTTCCAACAAGGTACACCTATTAGCAATATAACTTAAACCTACATCAGTTATTTGACGACAGTGAGACAACACAATATCCCTCAGCAAGGGACATCCTTCACCTAGCTCCACCATGGCCATATCACCCAAATCCTGTCAAAATTTGTGCTTTAGTATTCAGTGCGGAATGGAGATAAAAAAAGATACAGTTGTTTGGTCTATCATACATCTTGTATATGGGAGCAGTACGTGTGTGTGTGTTGCATATGGGACTTTATAATATGAGGTTCCTAATGCACTTGTTAAAAGGTGGACTCAGGAGGAAGCAACCATTTTAAGCTCTACCTACACTAATTAGTAAAGCAACTAATGTAATTATCCAATAAACTTGGTAAGCATATTCATACCGTCTATGCATCATATACAATGTTTGTTCCACTATAAAAAGAGCAAGTATAAGTGGACAAACCTGGAGTACACTCACATCCAAGTAACTGAGTTCAGGGCACCCCCTTGCTATGGCAATTATTCCAGCATCCCCAATTTGGTGGCAGCCACTGACATTTAAATGATGCAGAGAGCAACCTTCACCAATAGCCACAAGTGCTTCATCCCCTACTCTGGTAATTAAATAGAAGCTAAGACTTATTAGAGGCAAATTACCAGTAATACGGTAGTTAAGTAGCAAGCTTTGATAAAGAGGCAATTCAATGTATATGTTACTAAAGCAAGTAACCATCGAGACACAATTTTTTGTTGAAATTTGCAGTGTAGAACATTTTCCATCAACTCGGGGCCAGGAAGTTTTAAAGAAGTGGATGAAAAATGTACCTACACAATCTTCATCTTCAAATGGACAAGCTACCTCTTGCAGCACCAAAGGCGCCACAAGGAGCACAACAATTCCCATATCAAAAAAATGCTCATCTTAAAGAGCATTCAAGTATAATTTAAAGGACAATAGAACAAGTAATGCAAGCAAGGAAGAGGCTGTCTGACAATTTTATTAGCCGAGACTTGATGATTGAGAAACAAAAAAAATAGAAGGCAATATTAGTTGATAAAGAGAAAATCACGTACCTATCGCAGAATCGGAGGCTAAGGTCTGTAAGAAATTTACAGTTCTCGCCAACAGCTATAATTCCCTTATTTCCAACCTTCAAATCAGATGAAAAGAGCAGTATTATCAAATAAAAGAATATTTCCAACCTTCAAATCAGATGAAAAGAGCAGTATTATCAAATAAAAGAATTGAGTTTTGGGCATAAAGTGCAAAGGAGACGGCACAAATCAGATTTCACTTACAATAGATCGAAAAGAATGAAAAGGGAAACAAGGAGTGCTGTTAGGCCTTCAATGGACTACTCAGGTCTCTTGAATGCTATGGTAATATAGTCTACAGAGAAGGCACATAAGTGATGTGTTCAATTAAAGGGACTTAAAAGGGCAGGAAGTGAACATAACTTGAGATGGCCTTGGAAGCAGATTTCAAATGTTAAAGGAAGATTGACTCTTGTGGCAGCATATGAGGATAGTTAAATAAAGAAGATAAACTTATGCAACTGTCACATTTTTCTACATTGCATATTTCTCTCACAACCATACTAATGTTCCTGCACATCTTTAAGCTTATGTGGAGAATGCCAAGAACTCCCAGGGAGCTTCCACTCAGTAGGAATGGAAGAGGCATCAATAAGAAACAAAAAAGGGTACGAACTACAGTACCAGTATGCACTAGATGGGGCAATATGGAAGGAAAGGAACTTGTGTTAGCAAAATCAAATACTACTGTTTGTCTTTTACTCTCTTATTGTTGTAAAGTTGGATTCACGTCGGATGAGGTTCTATGTTTGGAGAATTGATTCATATCAGATGAGATTAGTCTCTTAGATTAATTCAGTGACTTCAGGTATAGAGAGTCTGATTTGTGTACATAGTAATACACTAGAACTGGAGGAATGCTCTTGCTTTTGTCAGCTGATGTATTAGAAAAGTTCAGCTGGTGCTTCTGGATCCCTAATGTACATGTGCAGCACCATCTCGGTGCTGTAACTAATGATATCTTAGAATCTTTACTGATCAAAAAAATGCATAGGCCTCCAGCATTATGCAACACCTCAACGTGTAAAGATATCCTGTAACTTTGACATCACTAGAGAACAAGATAGAAATCCATATTTAAGAGGAAGTAATGAGGGATAGAAATTATTAAAGCACCTCATAACATCGACGGATGTGGAGCCTTTTGAGGTTGCAGCATCCTCTGGCTATAGAACATATGGCTTCGTCCCCAATACTCGCACAATCTACCAAATGTAAAGCTTGCAAGAACTTGCATCCTTTGCCAATCTCAGACAATGCAAAATTACCAATTCTTTGACAATACAGCAAGGCCAACTCGGACAGATGCCTACATTACGAAGCCAAAACTCAAATTAGGACCCGTTGACTTCTTAGAAAAAGGAAGGACAAAAAACTCAAGATAGGACCAGGACAGAATTTTAAAGGGATGCAAACTGTATAATATTCATGAATTTCATAAATACTATTAATAAGATGAGCCGAGCATAACATAAAGAGCAGTAATCAATCAATTGGTGAAACCAATAAATACGGTTCAACAGTTTGCTAGTCATAATAGATTAGGTTTTCAGTCTTCATTTTTTAAGAAAAAGAGAAGAAAGAAATTGGAGGATACTAAACGATGAAAAAAGACAGAATTTCATTATAGACAATGAAATTACTGCCAATCGTCTATGAGCACAAACATAAATTTTACTGCCCACGTCTTCTTGAAAGAAATAGCATCATTTTCAGAGGAAGTATATATGCCGAAATCAATAAAACATAAGAGAACTACAATTTACCATTCTGATTCAGCATATTATCCTAATGCTAAAAGGTAGTTTCACACTTCTCTCTATCGAATTGTAATACTAGATCAGCCCACAGCCTACTGTAAGCCTCTTTGAAAGTGGTGGAACTTAAATGCATTCCGCATTAATTATCTAACTCAATAGATTCAGACATCTGGCTGTCAACATGGATAAAACCATTCCCTGGAGTTTGGAAAAGTACAGCATTTTGTTTCATGAAGTAATATTGACAGAAATAGAATAACAT